TTTTATGCTTTCATTATTTATATTTTTTATTTGTTTATTTCATTTTTTATTTGCCTTATTTTTGTGATTCCTCACTGTTTTCTCTATTTCAGACATTCATCAATGCGGCTCAGGCGTCGAAAAAGAATAAAATCAGTAACAAGCCTTTGGTATTTTACATCCCGAAAAAATGATTTTTACGATTATTGTGATTTTTCTAGACGGTGTATTTGTTTTTAGATGACTCCTGTGTTGTGTTCAGTGATTTTTTATTTATATGCGTATAATAAACTGAATTATTTTGTTCTGTTGCTGGTAAATGAAACTAAGGATAGTGTCGAAAAACCTGCTCAATTATCCCTGCCATATTCTCATTTGTGGTGAGGTGTCTCCTGAAGGCAAATGCAGCCAACGGTGTCTTTAGCCTTTTTACCCATAATGATCGCCGCGCGGGAATTTACGCTGCATGGCGCAAAGGGTACTGCTGGCAAGACCACCCAGTTAGCTTTGCGCAGAGGCGATAACGTGACCAATGAGGCTCTGCCGAGGTGCGTTTATTGCTGGTTGAAAACTTTTCCCCAATTGCCCGCGATGGCCCCTGAAACATGGGTGTCATACGCAATTTTTGAACGCCCCCAGGGGGCAGAAATTACGGTAAATGGGAGTTGTAGGCCCATAAATATTTTTTTCCTTTGTTGCTCCTGCGTCGTTGCAAGCCATCCTGTGGGAAGTTCATGGGCGTAACCGAGTTCTTCCTCTTGACTTCTCAGGTAAAAGAGATGCTAACAGAGCAGTCACAGGTGACTCACCTCTTTCGCCTTTCAACAAACATCATTTCATTGTATCATTCTGGTACCCCTACGCAATAATAATTAATTTCAATAATAATAATAATAATAATAATAATAATAATAATAATAATAATAATAATAATAATAATAATAATAATAATAATAATAATAATAATAATAATAATAATAATATATAATATTGAATCAATTATAACGAACATGAGCTACTGAAAATGTAGTCTGGAACTCAAATGCGTGGCGCATTCCAAAAAGAGATCAAATGACGCCTACTATCCTTTCGTGGGTCGATCCGAATAAGAGACGGCATTCGATGCAATGTTTACTGTAACGCTACAGTAATCCCAATTCGTGGGTGGAGGAGCAGATGAATTTGGGGCAGAGTGTAAAATCGGTCGAGGATTAGTCGACAACTCGTCGAGGATTTTCGCCTGTTCAGTCACACTGTCTAGTGCGGAAATTCACTCTCATCACTGTTCTCATATAACGCAGAGCCATGGCCGAGGATTTCCTTGACCGTTATTCCATTGGATGAGGGCGAGTTTCGTGAACCATTTCACTTTCCACAAATTATGTGGCTTTCCGTTCGTTGTAAAACACAGGGTTACTGTAGGAGATGCGAGCCATTGCACCAATTGCTCCCTTTTGTTCAGACAGACCCTCCTTTTAACTATTGAAATACTTGAAGTGCCAAACATTCTTACAAGCAAATAAATACATTGAAAACTGAGGTGTGCAAAAAAAACCCGTCGTAAAAAATTGTTGAAGAAATCTGTAGTCCATTTTATAATTCTTTTTTTTTCAGGATTTGCCGTTTCACTGACTCTATAAATAGCGGGGCAGTATCACAGTGGTTAGTTCGATATTCCTCCTTTATTCTTTCTGGAATGGAGGAATCAAATAATGGGGAGAACATTGGGATGGATACTGAACGTGGTTAATTACAGTGAAAGCAGTTAGAAATCCGATTTCGAAGTGGTCAAGTGATTCGGCGGGATGAAAACCACGAAAAACCGTCCCGAAGCCTGAGAAATAGGGCCCTCCGTGCTCGTTGCTTTTCGCTTGATGCGACTCTCGTCGGTGCTGCCCTCTTCAGCGCCAACGTTCCCTCTCAGCGAGTGCTAGAGACCTGCGGCGAGTGGTTAGCCAGTCGATGGGGTGCAAGTCTGATTAGCGCGCAGGTGTTCTGGATGTAGGTCGCAGGGTAGATTCATTCCGCTGTAAATTGAGCATGTGGCCCTCGCACCCGCAAGGAGATCCAGCTGTCTATCTCGTGTGAGGCCTGCCTTCGTCGACATCTATCTTTCCGTGTGGTCCTTTCCTAGAGGATGTGTCACGGAGTGTTCATTTTAGGCGATGTCTTAGTTTGCAGCTCAAGTCATACAGGGCCCAACTTTTTAAAGGCTGTCTTAGATATGCCATAAGAGGGGCTGAATATGGAGATATTTTCTTTCCCTTGTTAGGTTTTTTTTTTTTGTTGTATTACTGCCCAGATAAAGCCAGTTCAGGTTTTATTGTTGGTTGACGGGCTTTCAGTGCGAACCTTTTGTTATATTTAGAATTGATATATTGAAAAATCAATGTCGAGCTTAGATCCCCAGTCTGCCGCGTCCCTAGCCGGAGCGGAGTAAGGGCCGATGTCATAGTTTGCGAATCGAGCGATTCGCTAGCGAATCGCTCGATCCGAGCGTTGCGCCAGCGAATCGAACGTTGCACCAGCGAATCGAACTTTGCGCCAGCGAGTCGAACGATGTACCAGCGAGTCGAACTAGGTACCAGCGACTCAATAGTGGCGGGACCCAACGTTTAAAGGAAGCCCGCCACTTTCAAACAGTGTCACGTGACAGTGGACGCTGTTTGAAAGTGGCGGGACTTGACAGTGGACACTGTTTGAAGTGGCGGGCTTCCTTTAAACGTTGGGTCCCGCCACTATTGAGTCGCTGGTACCTAGTTCGACTCGCTGGTACATCGTTCGACTCGCTGGCGCAAAGTTCGATTCGCTGGTGCAACGTTCGATTCGCTGGCGCAACGCTCGGATCCAGCGATTCGCTAGCGAATCGCTCGATTCGCAAACTATGACATCGGCCTAAACGAGATCAAGGCGAAAAGATCACTCGGAATTGAGGATCCGAAGTATATTCACCTGCTTCACAAGTTTAGTGAGTCTTTTTTCACTGTAGCTTTCTGGACCAGTTACCATGCGAAATAGAAGATTTCCCCCCCAGTGTTTCTAAAAAAATCACTTTTCCATTGTCTTTATCAGTAGTATCCCTTTACACTAGTATATACTGGAAGGATATCATTTGAAATTGATTCCCTGGGGTGTGTCTTATTTCTTTCTTATATAACGATTTGGAATGGGTCGTAGTTCACTGCCTTTCTTTATTGGTTTTCATTGATGGGGGGGCGGGTACCCAGTAATTTATGTGATATGTTTGAATCTAGATTTTTTATTGCGAACACGAAACTAATGACAGACAGTACATAATTAGCCTATTTTCGACGAGTAACCTCATAAATAGTGTCCTAAAATTTTGATCTAGCGGGTAGAAGCATTTTCAGGCGTGGTTGAAAATGGGTGGCTATATAAGGAATTCGACAGTAATTTCTTTTGGGAAGATTAGACCTTGGCTTGAGCGCGATTGACATTTCCTAGGAATTTAATTTTTGGGAGCCAGGGTTTCCCACGTTACTCACTGGATCAGGTAGATGAAATGCTGCGGCTCCCTATCTTCTCTCTTCGTCTAGAGGGCAGTCTCACTGGTGTCATATATCCCACTATGAATGGGTGTTTATCCTCAATCCTTTGATGGCCATATTATGCGTCCACGGGATAAATCGAAGCTCACGATCTGATAATGGGCCGAGAATCATTGCTGTCGACAGTGCGATGTTGTTATGAGATATGATTGTTAGGGCAAGGTCCAAGCATCGAATTTAATGTGGGATGAGGCGCGAAGGTTATGTTCAGATTTGAACTGGGTCGTTAATTGTGATTTTGAACAGGGCGGGGTCGTTATTTGGGTTGTTTAAGTGACATTTTGGGTTGGGAGAGCTGACGAAGGTCTGGTTAGGGGGGGGGGGCGGTTGTGTTGTAGATATGGTTTAAAGACTTGGTTGAATGTTTTAGAAGTAGCGAGAAATCGGTAAATTGGTGGCTCAGTCGTATTGAGGGAGTCTTTTTCACTAAGAATGATGTGGTGCTGCAGTGGTCGCATTGTATCTTCTGAGGGGGGGGGGGAGAGAAGCGAAGGTGCGACATTTCTGAGACAGTGGCACCGTGACAGTTGACCCTGGTGATAATCCACTCATTACCGACTAGAGTACAATGGACTCAGTGGAGAAAGTGACGAAATGATCACAGAAATAAGAAATTCGAACTTTACGCCGATATTTATCTATTATCGCTCATCACGTACGGAAACGTGGACTGATAACTAGGGAATTGCTTTTTCGAAGTCGTTATACTTCTCGAGATTCATGCCACATTTCTGCCCTTGCGGCGGGCGTTACAAAATGCGTATATGACGCCATGTTTCAGGGGCCATCGCGGGCAATTGGGAAAAGTTTTCAACCAGCAATAAACGCACCTCGGCAGAGCCTCATTGGTCACGTTATCGCCTCTGCGCAAAGCTAATTGGGTGGTCTTCCCAGCAGTACCCTTTGCGCCATGCAACGTATTCCACACGGCTTTGCTCTCGCGTTGTACGTGCCTGCCTGACTCGATCGATTCAAAGGTGGCCATATAAATAGTGGGTGGTCCTTTTGATCACTCCCTCACATTACTAAAAACAAATTTTATCAGATCAAAATCTCTGTACATATTACCAAACAGCCTATCGAAGCGGGCTGAACCACCTGTAGAGAATTTTGAGCAAAACAACCCATTCCAGTAAATCTCTTCCTCTCTTTCTACTTACCATGGTCGTTGGTGTCATCAATTCTACTCATCACTGAGCTGTAAGTCTGCTAAGAGGTGACTATAGGGACGCCCTCCAGAAGGAGATCGTCCAATTCCAAATTTTCGCAATGTGACCCAGGCCACGGATGGATACTATTAATGGGTGGATCCTGACACGCTCGATGAATTCCTATTGAAGATAGGGCTTTGTGGTTACAGTAGTACTGCTCGGTAACATGAAAAATCGAGCAGGAATTCCCTCTAATGCTGAATATCCCCTGCATAGACGCAATGAAACCTCTCTGGTCGTCATGATGTGCTCGAGGGGGACAATGAAGCTAAAAAGTCGATATTGGGCTTCTCCCGTCACGCCAATAATAAGAAACGATCTCGTGAAACCTGGGCTACAATGAAGAATGAATTCTAAAAAGAGGTAGAAGTAGTAATCTGTAGAAATGAAGGTTGACCTTTCAGCCCCAATTTTTCATAACACACAGAAAATAATGTTGTGGAAATCCTGACGAGTTCTCTGCAACAGCTATAAAATCCTATATAATTGTATATGTAACCTTGCTCGGACTGAAAGGAGTAAGACAGCGGAGCGTACGCAATTTTAAACACCCCCAGGGGGCATAAATTGGGGCACGTGTTCGTGGGAGGTTGAGATCATAATCGTAACTCTTACTGATTTTTATAGAAAAAGTTTGCGGAGGCGGCGAAGAAGGTAAGGTCAAAACCCCTCGGTGGTTTAAGCATGCACCATAGTGGGCTTCGCCACGAGACTTTATGCTCCGGTCCAGAGACAGTACAGGGAAAAGTTGAATAAAGGCGGCGAATGAAAGGAGTCAATGGTATTATGTGGCCAAACTAACGCATTATCCAGGGGCCGTAAGGTATGCTTCCCCGAATGGTTGCGGGGACGAAAGTCCCTTTAAATTTTTTGTTTTGAACGACACTGTTTCTTTATTTTCAATGCATGTTTACTTTAAGCAACACACATATATTAAATGTAGGCCCTTTATCAGGACAATCCCAGTTGGGACGACAGAGAAAATTTAAAGGATTTTCGTCCCCTAACCCTTCGGGGAAGCATACCTTACGGCCCCTGAGTATACGCGGAAACTTTAGAAGGAAGTCGGATAGAATAATAGTGGCGGGATTAGCGTGTTTCGTACAATGATTTTTCGAACAAAATTGTCTATAAAATTTTATTATAATTTGATTTATGACTACTAAGCTAAAACAATCACTGAACACTGTATAAGATCCATTCAAAAATAAATATTCGGAAAATTGCAAATCATGAAAGTCATTTCTTCTCGATGTAAAACACCAGAGGCTTGTTGCTAATTTCATAGGTTTTGGATGCCTGTGCCGCATTGATGAATGTCTGAAGGAGGAGAAAAATGCACAATTCTTCGCATCAGGTGCTAGGACGACAATCTTAGACAAAAAAAACAGGAAAGGACCGAAGCTATCGTAGTTGGGCAGGGGAGCACGCGGCGGCGAGGTGTCCTGTTCATCTGCAACTTTAAAGTCCTGTCTCAGAAGCCTGTGTCACTTGCACCACGTGCTTCCAAAATACTGTGACGCCGACTAGGGCAGACGAATAGAGGCCGGCCGCGTTAGCGCCCCTCCAACTCCGGGTTAAGCACGGAAATTCTGAAAAAATTCCCCAAGTTCGAAAAAAAGAATGGAATTTTCAACACTCCTGCGCCCTAACTCTATCGTGATTCGTTTATAGAGGAGAAGGGCGATAGCATGGTCTAATGCTTGTGGCGGGCACCGCGCAGCTTGGGGTGGGATGGCCGTATGTGAGTCTGACTGAATCCCCGAGCCTTTATTGTTTTGAGTTTCGCAGGCAGCAAAAGAAAAGCGGTATTACATTGTCTGAAAGGATAAGAACACCAACCTTCTCAGCTCCGTAGCTGCGTTATGAATAGATGGTTACTATCCACGGGAGCTAACTAGAAGGGTAACTCACGTGTGGTAAGCGACGCACTTCACTGTGTTGCTCTATAGCGACTATGAACCAGCTGGAATAACTATGACAGCTTCATGGTGCCCGCCGGCCATCTGCGGAGCGCCAGAAGGAACGACCAGAAGACATCGAAGGGGGGATATCTTTCGCCCGACTGCGAACAATTTGGTTTGTACGGGCTCGTAAGCAAAAATAAGCAGCGCTGCGACTCGGAGCGGCGGCTACCGTATCCGAGAATCCATCTATTCTTTTGATAGCAGTGATGTTAAGTCGACGGCAAGGCTGGTGTAGGTCGATTCAGACCTGGCGCTCGAGCGAGTTTCGCGCGCGACCGTCGCATCAGACGCTAGCGCCAGTCGCTCGATTCGCGAGTCGACATCGGCCGCGGTAGATGAGTATTGGTCTTGTTCACCGAATTCACAAACTCCTGCTTTGGCTGCGGGAGAGATGCTCACCGAAAGGTTAGTCATACGTTCATAACAGCAATCTCATGGCAATCTCAACAAAAAAATCAACCTAATCACATTGTCGAGATCAGTCCGACGTTCCCATCTAAAAACTGGGAGGAGCACAGTCCAACTCATCAAAAAAAGGCTTTCTACGCGATGGCGTCAGAAGACGTCACATTTGGAGACAGTGAGGCAGAAGAAGAGCTTGCTTCATTGTAGAAGACATTGAGGGAATATGTTCCGAATGACTTCCGCAACAGCGCCGCAGCAATCAGTATGAAGCAAAATTGCCGATGCGCAACGTGGGCAGAAAAGTTTTTTGTCCCTCCCCCCCCCACCTCTGTAAGCTCCGCATAGCCACTACCAAGGAAGAATCATATGATGCTTTCTCCAGCCACGTCCCCCCTCCCCCATTTGAAAACATTTTTGGCCATTTACCGCGTGTCAGCCCGAACGAGCCAAACGGTCGTCTGCCCCTTTCCCTCCCCTAATCCGTTGCTGTTTCTTCAATGTGCTGATCAGTAACCGTGAATCTATAGCATAATTAGCTTGACGCAATTAGAGATTCTCAGGGGTATAACTCCTGAGTTTGTGCTCCGACTTACCGTATTCCCACTTGATAATGCTCCAAATCCTTGGTGAACGTGGCCAAACACATGGAACCTGGAAGTCGGTTTTTGATAAAAACATTGAACGAAATACTGAAAACAGATGCTGAAAACCATCATAAAAAATGGGCGCTCATGTCGGCAGTCAGGTGAGAGAGCCAGTTACAGTACTTGGTACGAAGCCTTAGGAAGGGAAAGAGATTCTGGGAGAGGATGTGAGCACTGACGTTTCTCGTTCTTCAGGACTTGGTCCCACTGTCCCACCTATCGTGGCCCTCTTTTGATTTCTCATCCCGCCCTCCCCCCTCGCCCTCCAACGCCATGACTGCCAAAAAATGTAGTGATTCCACATCCTAACCTAAAGAGCCGCTGTCTAACGTCGACAGAAAATTCGGCGAAATTAGCATAATCAGTGATCAGTAGTGTGATCAGCCGTAGGTTGCTCACGTTTTAGATTGAGCCATGTATTTGACTTTCATTACGAATCGTGCATCGGAGCGCCGGCCTTGCCTGACGAACTTGGAGAATGCAGTACAGTAGGTTTTCATCCTTCCAAGCAATTCCAGAACGTATCACTGAATCCGCAGGAAGGGAGGCTTGGATAATTGCTTGTGATTTGATGCAAAACTTAAAGGCACTGGTCCGAAAATTGAACCATCCTCCTCATCAGTGGTGAAGGAGGATGGCTTGGAAGGAAGGCGTGTTTGAAGGAGTTCTCCGGACATGCCAGCCATTTTCCGCCCCGCGTCAGCAGCGCATACTTCAATCAACGCATCCTACCCAGCTGGATGCGCCTCATGCCAGCTATGCACCAGCCCCGCAGTAGGCGGTCATAGTCTACCCTGGGCACAATAGCTCCAAAGACTAGCCCGGGTGCCTTATTACCGCTCGGATTAGAGTCACGAGCGTACCATCACCTCTGTGGTTGCAGACCCAGCCACATATTGGTGAATGAGGTTCCTTTGAGCGCTCAATCACGACCCATACATTTAATATCCGAGATCATACTCGTGGTAGTGGCGACATGTGCTAATGGCTCATCTCCATCAAGGCCGGTGCCAGACTTTGCGAATCCAGCGACTCGCTAGTAGCGAATTCGCAAAATCTGACACCGCCCTCAAGGTGACTCGACCATTTTACCTATCACATCCAGTTGCGAAGTAATTGACTACGCCGGTGCAAATGCTGCTGACTGCACTACGCTGAACCCAACCATGATTGAAAAAAACCTACTTGGGTTTCACTCTTGTTTCGATTTCCCTGAGAAGATGGCGACAACCCCATCGTTCTGGTCGCCATTCAGTGTAGGTGTCCAGATAGCCTGAAGAATCACGCTCATATGGCGATGAAAATCAAAGACGTGGGCGTTATGTGGACAAACAATTTACCCAAAGCAGGTGTGTGGGTGATGAGGACGTCAAGGTTGGACGGTATCTTCTTCCACTTCTTATCAAGTTGCGATCGCGGACGATAGAATGGATATCC